CCATCCATCCATCCATCCATCCATCCATCCATCCATCCATCCACCCATTGTCAGTCCATCCATCCATCTGTCCGTCCATCCATCTGTCTGTCTAAATTGTCTGAATAAAATTATGCTGTTATTAAAAAAGTGAAGGTGAAATAAGTTATACTTCTTTATTCTGTCTAGGTTTTGTATTTTTGTTATTGAACCCAATCATCTTTGCTTTTCGAGAACATTGTAAATAATTACAGAAAATTTAAAAGTAATCGTTCTACTACTTACTACTACCCATATATAGATGTAGAGTTTTCTAATTAGAGACCGTTCAGATGTTTTGAAGCGGGTTTTGTGGAACAGGGAGTAGTGGTCAGCATGTTACCTGCAGCAGACAGCAGTTTTTAATTTGGAGAATCGGAGAAAACTTCTCATGAACGAGATTCTGTTCCAGAGTTGATTTCATCCGTCTCAAAAATTTTAAATGTAAAAGCTTTTAAAGCATTTTACATGGATGCTCCATTTTAAACCTTAAGATGATGTCACTTTTGAATCATGTTATTGTTTAGACAAATAGTTTTTAATTCTGAAGACTGAGCTGTGCTGGAACACAAGTCTTCAATCTGTTGCATCATGCTCTGTGTGAAACATGACCAGCATAAAGAGGCCACAGAACGTTCTGATGCAAAACGACGTGGTCAAATCATCTACATCCCTCGAGCAACAATGAAACTTTAAGGTTTGTTTGTCTTCATAAGCTGAATCACTAACAGCTTTCTTCTGCAGGTACCATACTGACTACTCACAACTAATCCATGAAACGCACTTTAAAAGAAACGGAGTGTCTTTAAATGATTAAATTATTCAATTTATTTTTGCAGTCCTGATGCTTTCTGTTGTTTTTTGTTAGTTTTGTTGTTTGTCCAACCAGGAGCCCATTTAATTATAAAAACCTTCAAAATAACACGTTGCAAAAATTGTCTGCTTGTCCTTGACATCATGAAGCTTCTGCCTCTAACTCATCACTTTCTGTTTCCATCAGTACTGTCCTCACGTGAAAGCAACTGCCCACACCGTGCACACTGATGATGCATGTTCCAGTTTCTGCTGGTAACAACCTGCACGTGTTCTCCTGGTTTCCACACAGACACGCCTGTAATTATCAAAGTTTCATACTTTGAACCATCAGAGCACAAGATAATTTCCACTTTCAACACCTGCACGTAGATAAGTTGTGATCAACTTGGTTTAGAGTGAATATTTAACGTGCATCTTTGAATGCAGCAGATTCAGTTAAGATAAAATTTCATGGAAAGTTCTCTTATTATGCATTCGTCCTCTCATCCTTTCCTCAGGGTCACAGATGTTTGTACAGACTGGATCTCCAGCAGATAACCACAGGTTCTCTGTATCCTGATGCATGCACAGGTTCTCTGATTAGCTGAACCTTTTGTTGACCGTGCACTCCTTAAATAACAAAATCCTCAATTTTCTTTGCAATGATGAGAAGCTACCTGTATAACTCCAGGATTTACGGGGAAACTCTTAAATGTTTCACAAAATGATACTGAAAATTGTTAAAATATACTTGAAGACATCTATAGCAACAAAATGATCCTGAAGAGACGGCTGAGACTTTGGTCCGCCAAGCCTGTAAACACCCGAAGTGTGCAAAACTGTAAAGATACAATAAACAAAGATTGATGTCTAAGAAACAAATCTAACTGTCTGTCGTCGCTGGAACAAAACAGAGAACCTGTCTGACCTCTGACCTCTGAGCCGTGGGTTCACATCAACAATTAGCCGTTACTGATTTAGCTTTTTGTTTCCGCTGACTGACGTCAGGAATACTGCGAGGTCAACAGTTCTCGGTGCCGGTACAGATGTGATGACGTTGTGAGCTCGTATCGTCAGGTCCGATGGGAGCACACGGTTTTTATAATTCAGGACAGAGTCATCCGTTTCTGAGGGTTTTAGCAGAATCTTTGCGACCTTGAGTTCGCAGTTAACTCTCATCAAAACGTGTCATTTAGTAACATGCTTCATGCATATTTCATTTGACCAATTTCTCAATGTGTACGTTTCATTTGGAAACTGCTAGATCTGAATCCCCAAAATGACGGGACTTCATCAATCTGCTGTCCAGCTTAGAAAACAAACTGTTTTTCTAGTAGATGGCCATTGTTGTCAGGTAATTGTCACTGCTTGCTGTGAGTAAATAATGCAAACTGAAGGGTTATGTTTGAATTTGAAGCTTTAAAACACCATTTTGCCCCCTCCAGGATCATTGTGAGACCTTGTAAAGGGTATCTGCAGCTCATTTGTGTGGATTTATTGAGAGCTTAGCTTCTGCTCCCAGTCTGAAATAGAGATCCGAGTTAATAGAATCAGCAGCGGCAGCCTGCTCTCTTTAGCCGAATCAGTTTTATTTTTCCATTTTGTGTGAGATGAAGAGGAGGAACAGGAGAAGCAGAAAGGAGGTGAAGCCCGGGGGCGTTTGGAGGAGGAGAACAGCTCGTTAGAATTTAAAGGCCTAGGGATCCAGGAAGGTATGCACATCGGCCGCTAAATTAATTTGAGCTCAATATTTGAAGTGAGGTAGCTTGGTGGACAGCACCACGAGGTAGTAATCCTGAGGTTGCGCGTTCGAGTCCAGGTTGAGTCAGGAAGGGCATCCGGCATCAAAATAATTGCCAAATCTTTCATGCTAGCTGTTGCAACCCCTGCAGAAGGGAGCCGCATAACGTTGATTAGTTGTGATGGTCATCTTGAATGGGACAGCCAACAAAATTAATCTGCTGTACACTCAGCAGTTACTTTCTGAGAGTTTCGTTAAGATTTATTTATTTATTTATTCATTCAAAAGAAACAAAACAAATTCATCAATGAATGAAAAAGGTGCAGAAAGATAAAGATTTTTTTTATAATATCTGCTCCTTATTTGAAAAAATGTAAAATAACTACCAAAAAAACCAACAACAACTTAGGATTGAACAATCCACAATGCGAAAACAAAAAATATTAGATGTCCTTCACTTGGGAACTTCCTAACAATTTTAACTTAATCATCTTTTTAAACATATAAATTGTTTTAGAAACTTTTATGGTGATATCAAAGCAGTTCCACGATCCTGTAACGCAGCTCCATCAGACCAGTTCTAAATGGAGGTTTTACAAACATTTCCATTCCCTTAAGGTTATAATGACCTTTTATTTAAAAACAAATTTTAATTGAATATTTTGGGAAATATTTTTTATGAGCTTTATACATGACTTGTAAAATACTACAGCTTCTCATCAACAACGACACCCAAAAATTTTATTTAATTAACTTTATGAATTTAAATACTGTCAATTTTAAATGGGACTTTGATCATTTTCTTTCTATTACTAACTATCATGTAGTTTGTTTTTTCCAAATTTAACGATAACTTATTAAGTTGGAACCAAGTTTGTATTTTTACAAATTCTGCCTGTATCATCTCTAACATCCGTTAAATATCTTCACCCGAACAAAAAGAAATGTGGCATCATCTGCAAATAAAACACTTCAAAAGCCCTGACACATCAATCAGATCATTCACATACAAAATAAACATCTTTGGTCCCAACACAGAGCCCTGAGGAACTCCACACCCATGAACACAAAATTCATATTGTTTACCTGAACAAACTTTCTCCCCTTATTCAAATAACTGGATTCCCACTGATTCATCCACTGGTTCGTGAGATATTTTGCTAACAGTATGGACACAAAGCTGCAGACTCGAACAGACCGCTGCGTCACGCTCATTACACGCTTCAGATTTTCCTCGTATCAACACTCGCTCACCTTTACTCAAGTGGAAATAAAACTTTCAGATCTTCCGGGGACGATAAACACAAACCGGGAGGCGGGCGCGCTGCCGTCTGAGCGCAGATGACAAGTTTAATATGAGTGGATTTAAATCCGCAGGCAGGAGATGAATCCATAGAAAGCTCCAGGACGTTACTGGAACTGAGTGTGCAGTCTGTTTGAATTCATCCGACTTGGCCAATGCTTTAGATTCATGCACTGATCTTATTTGATTTGACTGGATTCACGTCTCAAATATGAAAGAGAATCCATCTGGTTCAGGAATCTGTGCCAGGTGACCGAGCCCTCTCTTGTCTCACACTGAGCAACTTGGGCATGCACCTGTTTATCACTACAACACACACACATGGCCCGAGAGCCACACACACTCCCATAGGTTCAGACTCATGAATTAAAACAAAGATCCTAATATGATTTGACATGGGGGGGGGGGGGGGGATTTCTGGCTACGGCCAGATTATACTGATTACTTTCATCGAGCAGGCTGGTTGTAAAACCACTTCAGACCTGTTTCTGTTGCCTTTGTTGTGCATCCTGACCACAGACAGAAGGCTATTTAACTTGGCACCCGTGCACGTTGCCTTGACAACAAACAGTCAAGGCTGCTGGACAGTAGTGCTCAGGACGAGGCTCGCATGGACCTCTGTGACAGCCGACATTGTGACTTGTCGCGGCAGCAAAAAGCACAGGTGGCTGCTCTTACGTTAATGAAGGCTCTGCTCTGATGGAAACAAACTTCAGAGCCTTTTAATGAAACATAACCACTAGTTCTGGTTCTGTTCGCACTTGAACACATCACAACACCTGCTGGTTATAGACGTGCGGCCTGCAGAATGCATATCATCGACACGAGCCCACTTATGGTCCCTGTTCAAAGCAGTGGTGCAAGTAAGGCTTGACGCACGCTGCCGTATTAACAGAAGCACGACGGTGCAAAGCCAGTCCCCGAACTAAACATTAACTCTGTGAAGTGGACGTGAGTCAGCCGAGCCTCTGGTCTTTGATTCTCAAATAGCTGCAGTGCAGACCAGGTGTGCACACCTCAGTGATTAAAATGCCAGTTTGACACAAAACAGGAAATATATTTACATGTTCACTGCAGTTTGCTGAAAGGTGTCATGACGCAGGACTCAGAGGACTCAGTATTTATTGAAACAACACAAACAACAGCGATGAGGTGACGTGGAGGGAGAACAATGAGGGACACCTGGGGTGATTAGAGGACAGGTGTGAGACAAAAGTAAGTATTTTGAGGCAATCTTGAGGGACTTCTGCACTTGTCCACAGGTGTTCTGGTCCACTCCAGCTGTCTCATGACTTAAGAAACATCTTCACATAAATTAACATTTTGTGATGATTAATAGGTTGCGTGTCCCCCCCCCCCCCCGGTCTTTCTGGCTACGGGGGTAAAAGAAAATTAAAGGATTGGAACATTTTTTTAATTACTTTTGTCACTTTCATTTTATTTTCATGACCTTTGTGGGGTTTCTGTCTTTAAATGAAACAAATATTATTCTTGTCTGTAGATATAAGACAGTTATGGGGTGTCGTTTGTAAAGTTACACAGTCAAAAATGAACAACAATATTTTGGTTTATTTAGCCTTTAATAATAATAAAAAAAAAGTTTTTTGTTTCAAAGTCACATTTTCACCTTGTCGTTCATACATTTATAAATGTCATAGTTCCATATTAAATATTTAATTTGCAAGCTAAATATTTAGTTTACAAACTAAATACTTAACTTGCAAGTTAAATTTTTAGTTAGTAAAGTAAATGTTTAGGTGTAAATTAAATATTTAATTTCCAAACTAAATCCAATAATGCTCTGTCAGGTCATCTGGACAGTGTCTTTTTTTAGAGACGTTTTGCCGTCTATCCAGAGGACTTCATCAGTCTGAGGAGTTCCAAGTAAACGGATAGAGGGCGAAACATCTCTAGAAAAAAAGACACTGTCCAGATGACCTGATTGAGCATTATTGGATTTGGTACCTGGATGATTGAGCATGAACTTTGTTTCCAAACTAAATATTTATGGTCCATGCTAATTATTTAATATTCAAACTAAACAGTTAATTAAAAAAAAAAACATTTAATTTGCTAACTAAATATTTAACTCTCACCTAAATATTTAGCTTGCAAGGTAAATATTTAGTTAGCAAATTAACTATTTATTTCTCAAATTAAATGTTTAGTTCGGAAATTAAATCATTAGTATGGAAAATAAATATTTAGCTTGTAAATTAAATATTTAATTTACACCTAAATATTTAGTTTACAATAACTTGCAAGTTAAGTATTTAGCTTGTAAACTAAATATTTAGGTTGTAAATTAAATATTTAATGTGGAACTATGACATTTATAAATGTATGAATATCATGGTGAAAATCTGACTTTGAAAAATAAAAAAACATTTTTTTCTTATTAAAGCTAAATAAACCAAAATATTGCTGTTCATTTTTGACTGTAACTTTACAAACAGCACCCCACAGACAGTGTGCTCGTGCACACGTTAGAGTGGAGGTGACGAGAGGGGAGGGAGGGGGGAGGAAGCGACGCGGATGAGACGCACACACCCGCCGTGTTTCTCTCTTACACACACACACGGAGGAGACAAGAGGGACAGGAAGGAAGACAGCGTGGAGACAAGGAGGAGAAGAAGAAGAGGAGGAGAGAGGAGGAGAGGGGGGGACAGAGATCGGCGGAGAAATGCGCGCTGGACGGATGGATTTTACTCCTCTGCGCGAGCTCGAGCCTTAGTGAGACAACATGGGCTGCATAGGATCCCGGACCATCGGTAAGGACACACAGCCTGCTCTGCCATGTGGATGGATGGATGGATGGATGGTTGGATGGATGGATGGATGTTGTGCGGAGACCCGGAGTTTTTCAGGGAGTTTCAGCTTAGAAGTGTCTTTTTTTGCGCGTGTAAGGTGTCTTTTTTTTTTTTTAAGACGCAGAGCATTTATAGTTGACTCCCTCTCTTTATCTTACTGTGTGTGTGTGCGCGCGCGTGCGTGTGTTAGGAGTGTTTTAAGAGACAGGCAGCAGGGATGCGAGCAGAATAAAATGTGGCTGTTCGTCTCTGCTTGGACGCAGAAGTGTGAGACCCAAGGAGGGGATGGAGAGGAGACCTCCGCCTTGACATCCTGCTAAGGTCATCGCATGCTGGGTGTCTGAGAAAATTCCTTCCTGTCTCCTCCTCCTCATCATCATCATCCTCCCTTCTTCCACCTCCCCTCACTCCTTTCCCCCAGCCCCTTTTCCCTCCATCCTCTCCTTGTGTCTCTCCACCGTGCGTCATGCCGCGACGTAATATATTGAAGATACGGAGCCTGAGCTCCTTCATACCCCCCCCCCCCCCCACACACACACACACACACACAGCCTTTGTGACTGACTTGTACAGGATGACTCAGAACCTGGCTGAGTAAACTCAGGTGTGAACCTAAATGCTCTGCACATGTAGGTCAATTCTGCACAGTCAGTGGTGCCTGACCCCCCCCCCCCCGCCCACATTTTCCTTCTGTAATCACTGAAGACTG